GGGCCCATCTCAGACACTTGTCCGTCAGCAAGCACTATGATGGAGTCTGTCTGGGGCAGGAAACTGATGCCATGTGTCACCAGCACCCGAGTCTGCGGAGAGGACAGCAGGCTCTCACCCCGCTGCCTCAGCACAGGCACGGAGCCACAGAGTAAGTGCAAGGTGCTCACGTGCTGGGAGTATGGACAGGCATCCCCACAGGTATCCCCTTCCACCCAACCCACATGCCTGCTTCTTAGGCCCCCCGCCATCCAGATCTCACCCAGACCCTTCAGCTTCCTGCCACTTTTCTCCAAGGGCCTTAGATCTCACCTTAGCCCCTTTAGCCTCCGGCAGGCCTTACCTTGCCTGCCAGCAGGCCTTCTGGACCAATGACTTGGTCAAAGATATGCTTGGCCACATGGGAGTCCACCGCTGACAGGGGATCATCCAGCAAAAAAATGTCAGCATCACTGTAAACAGCTCGAGCCAGACTAACTCTCTGCCGCTGGCCTCCAGACAGGTTAATGCCCTGGAAGGAGGAAGAGGGTGGTGGGAGGTGGGGGCTGGGTAGAAGAAGGTCAGACAAACCAAGGGGGATGAAGACCTGTCCACTGTCATTCAGCAAGCCAGACCTCTGAATCCACATTCCACAGGCAGTGAAAGGGGAACAAGAAGGACTTAGATCAGACAATAAGAAAAATTTCTGGCTCGGCACCTGTAGCTCAGTGGATAAAGCGCTGGCCACATACACCGGAGCTGGCAGGTTCAAACCTGGCCAAGTCTGCTAAACAACAATGACAACTACAACAAAAAAGCTGGGTGTTGTAGCTGGTGCCTGTAGTCCTGGCTACTTGGGAGGCTGAGGCAAGAGAATTGCTTAAGCCGAAGTGTTTGAGGTTGCTGTGAGCTATAAATGCCGAGGTACTCTACCCTCGGTGACATAGTGAGACTCTATCTCAAAAAAAGAAAGAAAAATTTCCCTTTAGGGACTATGGAGGAGGCTGTCCTTGCAAAGCTGTAAAGCCACAGAGGAAGGGGCTGTCAGAGTCCTCCTGGGGCAGGTGAGGCCCCCCTCCTCCCTTACTCTGGTTGGGTTTCCAACCCAACCCTGGTGCTAGAGGAATGGATAAACAACATGTGGTATATACATACGGTGGAATATCCTGTAGCTTTACATATGGTGGAATATCCTGTAGCTTTAAAAAGTGAGGACATTCTGACACATGCTTCAACATGGATAAACTTTGAGGACATCATGCTGCGTGTAATAAGTCACAAATGCTACATGATGCCACTCGTGTTGAAATTGAATCTGCCATGTGACAGTAAATTGGAAATGGGACCTTTAAGAAGATCATGCCTATGGCCCAACCTATAAAGGTACATGTGAATCTTTCTAATTGTAGAACATAAATGTCTTAACACAATAACTAAGAAAAAGACATGAAGGCTGTTAACCAGTTGGATGAAAGTATTTCAAATTGTATACAGAAACAGTATACTGTACCCCATGATAGTATTAATGTACACTGCTATGATTTAATAAAAAACAAAAACAAAAACAAAATATTAAAGTCAATAAATGAAAAAAAAAGTTGAGCCTTCTTGAATAGTTAATCCATTTATGGACTAATGAGTTGTGAATTAATAGGTCATCATGGGAGTGGGAGTGGTGGCTTTATAAGAAAGAAAGGAAGGCCGGGTGTGGTGGTTCACGCCTGTAATTCTAGCAATCTGGGAGGCTGAGGAGGGTGGATTACCTGAGTTCATGAGTTTTAGACCAGCCTGAGCCAGAGAGAGACCTGTTTCTAAAAATAGCTGGGCGTTGTGGCAGGCACCAGTAGTCCCAGCTACTTCTGAGGCTGAGGCAAGAGAATTGCATAAGCCCAAGAGTTTGAGGTT